TGGGGACACCGGGACACTGTGGGACACTGTGTGACGCTATGTGAGTGTGTGACAGTGTGTGGAAGTGCGTGACTGTGAGTGACACACTGTGACAGTCATGACACTGTGTGACAGTCTGTGACATTGTGTGGCAATTTGTGGCAGTATGTGAACATTTGATACCATGTGCACTGAGTGACATTGTGTGACAGTGTGACTGTGACACTGTGTGGCACCATGTGATACCAGCTGACAGGATCTGATACAGTGTGACACTGTGTGACAGTGAGTGGCACTGTGTGACTGTGAGTGACCCTGTGTGACAGCGAGTGACACCTTGTGATTGTGAGTGACCCTGTGGGACACCGTCTGACACCGTCTCACATTGTGTGACACTGTTTAACACTGTGAGACGCTGTGTGACATTTTGGGGCACTGTGTGACACCATCTGACACTGTGTGACACCGTGTGCCCGCACAGGGTCAAGGCCAAGAAGGGCCTGCAGGTGGTCTCCGCCCGTCCCACAATTCCCAGCACCTGGAGCGTTCACCTGGAGCGTTCCCGCGGTCCCAAGCACTCCACGGCCGTGGTGACGTGCCGGCGGCTCGGGGACATCCCTGCCATCCCAGACAGCTCCAGGTAGGGAGCATCCCAATACCCCCATCCCAGTGGGAATTACAGGTTGTTCCACCCTGATCCCCGTGCGGTGCCGCAGGGTGTCCGAGCCGGCTGAGTTCCTGCACCTGGATGTGGCTGTGGAAAACGGGACGGGGGGGCTGGCGCCGGCGCGGCCCCTCACGTGGCAGGTGGAGTATCCCGGCCAGGATCCCGAGGCGCAGAAGGACAAACTGGTCTGGGAAATCCAGGTGTCAGAGCGGGACGTCCGCGCCCTTGTCCCGCTGGTGCAGGTGGGTGTTCCCCTCCCATTCCAGCCCTCTATTCCATGGGAAGCACCCCCTCATCCTGCTGTGCTTCCAGGAGCTGGAGATCCTAAACACGGCACCGCTGACCGGGATCCCCCGCGCTATCCCGGTCAAACTGGTGGCTGTGGAAGCAGGGGGTGGAGTGTCTGAGCTCACGGATCCCGTGGGATGCGAATCCGCTGACAAGCAGGTGCTGCAGGTGAGTCCTGCTATCCCCTCGTTATCCCGCCTCACCCTGGGACATTCCCATGGAATTCCATGTGCCCTTGCAGGTGTCGGATTCCTGCGACCTGGTGTTCGTGGGGGGCAAGGAGAGCCGAGGGGCGCGGGGGGCCCGCGTGGATTTCTGGGTGCGCCGGCTGCGAGCGGAGCTGAGCTTCTCCGTCTGGGCTCCACTGCTCCCACTCCGTGTCCAGCTGGGAGATCCCGTCCTGGAGCAGCTCCGTGGCTGGAGACTGCCTGGGGGGCCTGACAGGTGAGGCCTACAGAACGGGATGGTGGGAAAAGGGGGAGACGGGAATGGGGCCGGGACATGACGTGTGGGGATGCATCAGTGAGCCCCCAACACACTCCTGTGTCTTGGGATTTTCGTCATCCTATCGTGGAATCCCTGTCACCCTGTCCTTCAATCCCTGTTCCTGTGCCCCTGGGGAATCCCTTGTCACCCCATCCTGGGACTGTTGTCACCCTGTCCCTGTCCCCTGTCCCCAGTGCCGTGGTGGAGTCCGAGGATGCCGCAGAGGAGCCGGAGCGGCGGGCGCGGGGCTGCCGGGCCCAGTTCCAGCGCACGGGGCTCCGTGTCCTAGCACACTTTGTGGCCCACCCCCTGGATGGTGGCCGTCACCTGTCCTACCTGCCCGGCCCTGAGTGGCTCCTGGATGTCACCCACCTGGTGGCTGCCCGGACTCGTGTCCAGGATCCCCGTGTGGCCTCACTGGAAGCGGGGGCCGTGGTTGTGGGCAGGGAGCCTGGAGTCACCTCTGTGGAGGTAAACGAGGTTGTTTGTGGAGAATTTGGGGGATCCTGGGAAGATTTGGGGGTGTGGGAAGGTTGCCGGGATGGAGCTGGGGGGCTGGAAATTATCCCAGTGGCAGCCGGGCAGAATACAGGGAGGGAGGGAACGGAGGGGCTGGAGGGGCTGGCACAGAAAGGGAATAGTGGCTGTGAGGGATGTTGGGGGACTCACAAGCTGCTTCCAGGTGCGCTCCCCGCTCTCCGACTCCATCCTGGGGGAGCAGACGCTGGTGGTTTCTGAGGAGAAGGTGACGGTGACAGAGCTCCACGCCCAGGTGGTGGCCGGGCTCTCCTTATCCCTGCGGACGCAGCCGGATCATCCTGGCGTGGTCACTGCCACTGCCCTGGGGACACCCACGCTACGGGCCCTCAAGCAGGTGAGACGGTTGGGGGGTGACCCCAGTCTCCCCGGTGTACCCCAAACCTCTGCCATCCCGCCTGTCATCCCACCAGGAAGCGACCCTGTCCATCTGGCTGTCCTTCTCCGACCACACGCTGGCCCCGCTGGAGCTCTACGGGTGGCACGACGTGGCCTTGACTGTGACGTCCCTCGACCGCGCTGTTGCCACCGTCAGGGGGTCCCCTGGGGTCCCCGCTGCCCACCCGTGGGTGGTGGCCGAGGGGCCAGGCCGGGGGGCCCTGCTCCAGCTCAGCCTGCATCCCCCAGATCCGTGCCGGCGTGGCCGGCACCGTGCGGCCGCCCTGGCCACCGGCACCGCCTGGCTGGAGGTGGGGGTCCCCTCTCCCGGGAGCCCCCGGCCCTTCCCGCGGGCTGAGGGCGCCATGTCCGGGGAGGCGGTGACCGTGGGACAGAGGGACCCCGCGGGCGTGGGGCCAGCAGCCACCAAGCTCCAGGGGTCTTCCTCGGAGGAGGACGAGGAGGAAGGCTACGGACGCAACCATGCCGGCATGGAAGAGGAGGAGGAAGAGGAGGAGGAGATGGTGAAGGCTCCGGAGCGGGTGACTGACCTGGAAATTGGGATGTACGTGCTCCTGGGAGTCTTCTGCCTCGCCATCTTCATCTTCCTCGTCAACTGCATCTTCTTCGTGCTCCGGTACCAGCAGAAGGAGCTGCCCGAGCCGGGCGGGGCCCCCTCGGCCCCACAACCCCACAACTGGGTCTGGCTGGGCACCGACCAGGAAGAGCTGAGCCGGCAGCTGGATCGGCAGCAGCTGGACCGGCCACAGCCAGATCGCCGGCAGCCGGAACCCCCGGCATCCCCGGGCCCCCCCTGTGGCTGCGGGGGCCCCCTGGGCTCCAGCGAGGACGGGGCTCCCCCCGGCTCCCCGACCCCCGGAGCCCCGCCGCCCCGCAAGGAGGGATCGGCTCCAGGGGGCGGCCGCAGGAAGCGGGTGGAGTTTGTCACCTTTGGTCCCCCCCGTGTCCCCGAGGAGCCCCCCCCGGCCACCCCCCACGTCCAGTCAATCCTGGTGGCCAGCGAGGATGACATCCGCTGGGTGTGCGAGGACATGGGGCTGCGGGATCCCGAGGAGCTCCGGAGCTACATGGAGAGGATCCGCGGCAGCTCCTGACCCCGAGGGGGCAACTCCCGGACCCCGCAATTCCCGGGCAAACCAGTAAGGGCCCGACCTCCTCCCCGTGCTGTGCTGGGGGGACACTAACCCCTCTTCCCACTGGGATGGGCGGGGGACCACTGGTGGCCTCCTGGGACCACCCCGAGGTGCCCACAGAGGGTGAGAAGGGGTCTGCCAGCCTTATCCTTATGGGGATTGGATCCCAGCAGCACCGGGGAGGAATTTGGGATGCTCTTACTGCTTTGGGTCTCATTGCGACATGGTGTTCATAGTGGTGATGATGATGGTGGTGATGATTCCTGTGGTCTGATCCCGGGGAGGATCCTGTATCCCCCCCACCTTCACCCCGGCCATGCATCCGTTTTGTACACATTTTTTATCGGGAACGCCCGGGAAGGGGCTGCCAGGGGCTGGTATTTATGGAAAATTTTTAATTCTGACGTTGTTACAAAAATAAAGTATTTAAAAAAACAGTTGGGATTCTCCTCTCTGCCATCTCCTGTGATCCTGCCCCCATGGCAGTGCCAGGCTCCTGGGAATGGGCACATGCCCTTGACCTTGGCTCCACGTGGGAGCTGGTCACGGGATTGGATCCGGGGCTGGGCCTGGCCGTGGCCCAGCTGGGGTCACCTTGGGATAAGGGATCTCCTTCCTCCCGCTCCTGCCATCTTCCTCCTCCACCTTTCCAACCCCAACATCAGCCTGGTACTGCATGACCACGACATTCCCAAATGTCCCCTCAGCACCTCCCTATATTAGTGGCCATGGGGATTCCCAGTCTTCCAGCTTCCCAGTAAGTCCCAGGAATCCCAAGACACCCTGGGTAACAGCAGATCCACCACCCCATCACCCTGCTCCCAGCTTCCCCAAACTTCCCAAAATCCTGCTGAGAGGATATGACTGGAATCCTGTTCCCCCTTCCAGCATCCTGGGTCCCCAGGTGTTCAGCTGGATCCCAGCCCTCTCCCATGGCGGGGATCAATGTCTCCTGGGATGCCCCACCTCCCACCCATGGACATTCCAGCCTTACCCCTCGCCTAATATTCCTGGAGGGTCCTGGGGTGATCCTGCACGTGCTGGAAGACGCTCAGGATGTGGAGCTGCTGGTAGCATTGACTCCAAAAACCAGGGAGAAGAGGGGAATTCCTGGCTCTTCGTCGCCCCACAGATGTCCCACATCTCGGGAGGCCCCGAGTCCCCCGTGCCACCACCCCAAATCCACAACCCGGAGGCACAAACAAGCTGCAGATCATGATGGCTCCACCAGATCTGTGTCCCTTGCGGTGGGAGCACCAGATCCACGAGGCTCCCGTGCCCCGGAGGGTCTCTGGGGTCCCCAAAACCCTGTTTCCTCTCTGCCAGGGCAGGATGGAGCCACGCCATCACCCTCCTCCACCCCACAGCACTGAGTCGGCTTCCTGCCCTCCGCCACACTCCCGGAGCTGCCGGAGCGCGGGGACACGGCCAAGCCACGTCCCCAGGCTGCTGAGAGAGGGACCCCCCGAATCCCAGACCCCTGAATTCCATGGGGCTGCCCCGCTGATGGGATGGGGGGGCTCTGCCTGCTCTTGGTGGCTCTTTCTGCCGTGGCACCTGCACGAGGTACGTCACTGTCCCCATCCTGGCCCTTGCTGTCTCTCCCTTGGGACCTTGGGGTGGCGGAGCCACAGATTTGGGGGTGGGGGACCTGCCACCTCCCTGGGATGGGGAGCACTGGGGGTTCTGGGGGGTTCCCAACAGGGATGTCAGTGATGGAGGATGCTGCCCCTCAACACACTCAGAGGAAAAGGGATGACCTTAAAGGGTATCCTAAGGCTTGGGGATTCTCCTAAGGGTTAAGGTGCCCTTGGATCCCCCCAAAAGCACCCTGGGAACCCCTAGAAGAGGACCCAAAGCCCTAAAGGTGCTCTCAGACCCATCCCACCTACAGTCCCTTTGGGAACAGGGTGATACTCAGGGCCTGAAGCCCATCCTGTTTTTCATGAACCCCCTGGATGGTTTTGGGATGTGATGCTACCTGTCCTCCCCACCCTGGTAGGATTTGGGATTGTCTGGCTGCCAAAATGTCTGCCAGGAGCTGCTTGGAGGCCTCCAATCGATCAGGAAATGGCCCCATCACCCCATTTCCGCCCTTCTCACACCTCCATCCTCACCTGGAGCAGCTCATTCCCACAGTCTCCCCTCATCCCTGGCTTTTTCCTTGAACATTTTAACTCCAATCCACATTGCACCACCTCTGGCATCTCTTCCCAGGATTCCCACCCAAGCAGCCCCCCCTGGATGCCTCACTTCTGGGGCTGAATCCTTCCCCCTGGAAGAGTCAAATGGTAGGGATAACTGGATCATCCACTCACCTGTGGCTCTGGAATGGGTGTAGGCAGGTGGGTACAGCCAGGTCCAGCCCCTCTGTGTCTGCAGGGATGAACCGGAAGGTGGGAACAACACAGATGCAGGATGATATCAAAAATTTCAGCTCTTACACCGCTGAGTCGTGTCCCAGTATTCCCATATTTAAGGCCAAATTCCCCCAGCAGATCCCACACCAGGATTTACCCTGAGAAACATCCTGGGGCACGCAGGGATTGATTTTTTGGGATGCAACGGTTCTGTGATCACTTTGCCAGAGCCTGGGGGGATTCCCACTGTGCCGCTCGCAGCTGAGAGAATCCTCTTGGCCACATTTTGGTGGGTTTGGGATGCACCCCTCCAAACTGGGAATCCTGGGGGCTCAGCTCCTCTTCCCTCTGTCCTTTCTCCCCACAGTCCCCACAGAAACGACAGAACCTCCCAATACTCCGACTGGGAACACCTCAGTGACACCGGGTGAGTGTGGCAGGGTGAGGGACATCCTTACACCCACTTTTTGGGATTCTGGGACAACGCCAGTTCACCCTTCCCGGTGCATCCCCCAGGTCCCAGAGCGCTCCGGCTGGTGGGCGGCCGGAGCCGCTGCGAGGGCCGGGTGGAGCTGGAGCAGGAGGGGACGTGGGGGACGGTGTGTGACGATGGCTGGGACATTCCCGACGCCGACGTCGTGTGCCGCCAGCTGCAGTGCGGCCACGCCGTGAGAGCCCACGGCAACGCCGCCTTCGGCCGCGGGCTCGGCCCCATCCTCCGGGATGAGGTGGGATGCGAGGGACACGAGCGGGACCTCCGGGAATGTCGGGCCGCGCTGGAGCACGACTGCAGCCACAAGGAGGACGCCGGCGTGGTTTGCTCAGGTGGGTTTGGAACATTCCAGAGCAGGGGATGTGGATGGCGCGTCCTCATCGCTGTGCTCTTCCCGCAGAGCACCAGGAGTGGCGGCTCTCCGGAGGCCGGGACGGCTGTGCCGGCAGGGTGGAGGTGTTTTTCCGCGGCACTTGGAGCACGGTGTGTAACAGCACCTGGTACGAGACGGAGGCCACGGTGCTGTGCCGGACGCTGGGATGCGGGGATATGCTCCAGCGGCCCTCCTTCAGACACACGCTTCCCGGGAAGATGACGTACCTGTGCGGGAGCCTGCAGCCCTCGCTGGCACAGTGCCTCTGGATCTTCAATAAATCCGCTCCCTGTTACCAATCCGGGGCTGCCGGGGTCATCTGCAATGGTACCGCTTCCTTCCTGATGGGATTTGAGGCACGGCCTGGGTGCTGCTCTCTCTCAAGCATCCGATTTCTGTTCCCGCCCTTTCCAGGCTCCCAGGGTTTGGAGACGCCAACGCCCACGGCGACTGAGGTGCCGCCCAGGAATGTCACTGTCCTGCACGGTGAGTGTCCGAGCCCTCGGCCGTTCCCTGGGATAAGGGTAAAATTCCCAGGAGGAAAGATTCATGTGGGATGAGCTGTGTCTGTTCTCTGCCCCAGCCGAGGAGGGGACCCCGACCTTGGGGACACCGCCAGTGGACAGTCCCCTCTTTGTCCTGTGCCTGGTGCTGGCCGCGCTGCTCCTGCTCTCCGTGCTGGCCTTTTCCGCTGCCCTGCTGAGGCTGAGGAAGAGGAGCGGTAAGGAATTCTGGATCCGGACATGGAACTGGGACACGATCCCCACTTTTTGGGCTCAGCTCAGCCACGGAGTGGGTGCATCCCCTTGTCCCCACAGCCACGTCCTCCTTGGGAGTACCCATGCCAGTCCTGGTGACCCACAGCTCCCAGAGCCCCAGCGCTCCCTCCGGGATCCCCAACGACTACAGGAAGACTCCCACCAGCCTTCCCAAAGGATCAGGTGGGTCTGGCAGGTCCCCCCAGGGGCTGTGGGGCCAGAGGTGCCAGCTGGTGACAGATGCCACATCCCCTTGTCACCCCCCAGACTGTCTGGTCACAGCCATTTCCAAGGATTCTGATTCTGACTCGGAATATTATGAGTTCAGCAGCAAGCCTCCTGTCGCCCTGTCCACCTTCTACAGTGAGCATCCCACTTCCTCTGGGATCCCTGATGCCCTGTCCCGGGATCCCTGTCACCCAGGATGTTCCCACCCCTCTCCCCTTCCCACAGACTCCTTGCGCCGGCATCCCAGGGAGGATCTTCTGCCTCTGAGACCCAGCCAGGAGAGGATGGAGCCATTGCCTGAGGATGGTATGACACAAGGCGGGGTCTATCCCATGGATAGAATGGTGGCCACCCCCTCTTCCAATATCTTTATTCCCACATTTGATGTCCTTGTCCTAACAGAGTCAGCCAGGCCAGGCCCCCCACTCCGCAGCTCCTCCAGCTCATCCTCATCCTCATCCACGGAGCCCTATTGGAATGGCAGCATTCACCCTCCTGCCCATGGCACCCAGTGGCACCCGGCAGCCACCGGCCATGGCTGCGGCACAGGTGGGAAATGTGGGGGCAGGAGGGATGGGAGCAGGGATGGGGAGACTCCAGGGATGGGAAAAAGGGATGCAGAGACCACAGGGATGGGGGTTCAGGGACCCCAAGTAGAGGAGCAGGGATGGGAGCAGGGATAGAGGGACCCCAAGAATGGGAAGATGGATGGGTTCAACCTCAGGGTGGAAATGGGGGGACCCCATGGAGTGGGAGCAGGGCTGGAAAGTGTCAGCCAGTGACTCTGCTCCTCCCAGCTCCCCCAGTTCCCCCGGCAGCGCCCGCCCCGGTGCCCTCCCAGCCCCGGGTACCTGCAGCTCCGGCAGATCCCGATCCCGACGGCAGCTCCAGCACCTCCTCGGGGGAGTGGTACGAGAACGTGCAGGAGACAGAGCCCCCCGGAGACCCCTCCTCACATCCAGGTGAGGATCCTGTGCTGGACGTGGGGCACAGGGAGTTCCAGGAATTCCCAAATCCTCCTGATGGGCTCTGTCTCTGCAGGCTGGTCAGATCCATCCTGTCCCTCGGGGGAACGCGGGGAGGATCCCGACTTTTCCGAGGGCAGCGACTACGATGACATCCAGGACTCTGCCTACTGAGCCTGTTCCATCACTCCAGAGGCCAAATCTCCTGGAATTCTCTGGCTATCTCCTCCAGAATTCTCCAGCCATCTCCTCTGTGCTGCCATTAAAAGCTTTTCCCACTGTGTCCCTTGTCCATAGGGGTGTCACCAGCCCTGCAGAGCCTGGGTCACCAAGTGCTCCCACTTGTCCACGGACACAAAGATGGCCAAATATCCCAGTCCCAGCCCACAGGAGCAGGGAAGGGGGTGGCAGGGCCCTGATCCAGCTCCATAGCACGAGGGGTGGAAATTAAACCGCAGGAAGGGCGGACATGGAAGTCCCACGTGTCCCCCGCAGAGCTTGCCTACACCCTTCTGGGATAGTCCCCATCCCGGGAACATGCTGTCCATAAATCCTGTCCAGGAAGGCTTCAGGGATGCTGGAAGGGAAGCCATTGAGGTGCCACCCCAAACCCACTGGATGGTGCCCTATGAGGGTGGGATGGAACCCCCAAACCCTTCAGCACCTCCCAGTCCATCCATATCCCAGAAGGAAGCTGGAGCCAAGCAGCTTCCTGGAGCCAAGCACCATCCCATCTTTGGGATTTGGGGGTGCTCCCAGCTGGGAAGGGGCACAGCACCCACCCATTACCCAGGGATTGGGACCCCTCTGCCCCCCCTTCCCCCTGCCCATCCCAAGCCGGCTGCTCCCGCCCGGCCCCGCCGTCAGATTTCTGTCTCCCCGGGGAGCAGAGACAAGTCGGGGTTCAGCTGCACCCCCAGTGGAAAATGTGCCCCCCCCACATCCTCCAGCTGTTTGCTGAGCGAGAGGCCCCGCACAAAGGAGCCGCAACAAGGGAGGAAATCCCAAAATAGCAGCAAAACCCCGACAAAGGGCACGGGGCGAGGCGCGGGCCGAGAGCGCAGCGGGCACGGGGGTGCCCCAGCCCCGCTCCTGGCTCCGGGTGCCGGGGGGCTGGGAGGGAGCTGATGGTGCTGGGATCGCTGGGATTGTGGCATGGACAGCCCTGGAGGGATGGATGAATTGCGGGGGGTCCTGATGCCCTGGTAGGGATCACAGAATTCAGGGGTGTGGATGTACTGGGATCCCAACGTGCAGAGGGGCAGCAGCATCCTGAGGGTGCTGATTCCTGCGAGGGCACCAATTCCCTGTGGATAACAAAGCCCTGGAAGGTACCAAAGCCCTGGGGGGCACCAATTCCCTGGGGATACCAAAGACCTGGGGGCACCAGTTCCCTGGGGATACCAGTGCCCTTGGAGGGTGACAACCCAGCCAAGATGTCACCTCCATCCCCACACAGCCACATCAGTGCCAACCCTTCCTCCAAGCTGCTCCCGCCCGGAAAATCCCCCTTTTCCTCATCATTATGATCCCAGCAGTGTGCAGACAGCCGACAAGCCCCTTCCCGCTCACTCCAAAGGCAGCTCCTGCTTTTTAAAAGGCTCCTCACGGCAGGCAGCGTTGTCAGCACTTCCCAGCGCCCCCCAGACTCCCCCCGGGAAGGGATTCCAATCATCCAGAGCTGCCACGGCATGCTCAGGATGCTGAGCTGACTCGCAGCGCCCGAGGCAAGGCAGATGCTCAATCCGAAGCCAAATCCTATCCTTGGGATCTCATGGCCTCCAGAGGCAGTCACAGCTCTGAGGGAAGGGCTGGACCCCAGGCACCCCATACCCATGGGGGTCACACACTTTGGACAACAGGATCTTTCCTGGAGGCACAGAGTCCTGGGATGTTTGAGGTGAATCCCAAATTTCAGGTTGATTTTGGGGGATTGCGGCTCCCGTGGGAGCAGGCCTGGGAATTGCACCCCTTTTCCAGGGAATTTTCAAAGCCAAAGTGGGTTGGGGGCCAGATCCAGGACCCCAGTGTGGGATATTCCAACAGGGTCTGCTCCCACCAGGATCAGCAGAACCGCTGGGATAACTGGGATGGGAACAAGTGAAGGCTACAGGGAGCACCCAGATGCTGAGATCCTGCTCCAGGACTGGGCACTGGAGCATCCATGGATGCTGGAGCAGGATGGGATGGGAAGATCCATCCTTTTTCTCCTTCCAGCAGGAACATCACAGAGTCAATGGAAAACAGCTGCCTCATTAGCATGCCTGACCTGGATTCAGAGCATTTAATTAGGGCACAATCAATTAACGCCTCTGCCCTGCCCTGGTCCAGCACCGCTGGAGCCCCACGTGCCCTTGCAGGGCTGCAGGGTGTCCCTGGAATGCCAGAACCTGGGATGTGCCTGGATCCCATCCAATTCCTGGGTTAATCACAGAGTTTTAGGGGATGCCAGGATGGGCATCAACTCCTCTGTAACTCCTGGGGACTCGGGGACCCCCAAATCTCCCTCAGCACTGGATATATTCAGTACCTCCCTTTCCCAGAGCTGCGGAGACCCTGGGATTTGGCGGGGGCTGAACCCCACATGTTTCTCACCCCTTTCCTCTCATGCTTGGCGGGACCCAGGGAGGCAACAGAGTCTTCAAACGGGCCCAGAGGTGACGTCAAAAAACCACAGAGGGAGGAAAAACAGCCGGTTCCTGTCCGGGCCCCCTCCCTCGCCTGCTCCGGGCCGGGCAGCGGAGGCGGCGGAGCCCCCAGAGCCTCCCGTGCCCCCATGGCACCAGCGGAGCCCATGGCAACCTGGCTGCCCATCCTGTGCCTCCTGCTGGGAATGTGGGGTGAGTATCAGGCACCCTGACCTCGGTGCGCCGCTCGGATCTCGCGGCAGAACCCCGCCGGTTTTCCCGCTCCAGGTGGGATCCGCACCTTCAGTGAGCCACAGTTCAGGGCTTGGGGTGGGAAGCACCCTGGTGACCCCCCAAACCTCCACCCACATCGCTCTGGGGGTCCCCAGGGTCCCAAGATTGAGCCAGTGGTGCTGAGGACAGCCAGGTGTCCCCACATCCTCATTCCCTGCCAGCTCCTGCCCTTCCCTCTGTCTTCATGGCACCATTCCCGAACATTCCACCCAGGAGCAGGGCTAATTGGCAGTAATTTGCAGAGCCCTTGTCTTTTCTCTGCCCTAAAAATCCCCCAGCAGACAGATGGGGAGTCAGAAAATCGCCTTTCTCCCCAAAAATCCCAGTTTTCCCATAAAATCCCCCTTTTCCTCAAAATAACCATCAATGGGCTGAGCAGCAGAGCCGCTGTCCCAAACTCGGGGTCCGCAGGGCGGGATGCGGGATTGACACCCCATTTCCGCTCTTTCTCACAGCCATCCCCGACTATGGAGGAGCCACCTGGATCCCTGGAGGTGAGAATTTGGGGAGCAGCCCTTTGGGAATGCCTCCACAGCTCCGTGAGCGTGGTGGGTGCTGGAGTTGCATCATCCGGAAGCGGCGTCCCGGGGTCCCAGCTCAAGCCCCCACATTCCCTCGACCCCTCCATGCTCCCATTCCTTGCGCTGTTTTCCAAGGCCCCCACCAAGGGGCCTTGGAAATCATTCCCAGGGTGAAAACCCACTGGGAAGGGAAGGAAAGGAAAGCCCCTCAAGATGGTGTTTTCCCACAGAATCCATCCTGAGACTCACCAGAGGCGGCTGCCGCTGCACTGGGATACTGGAGGTGAACTGGGAACACCAATGGAGACCGATCTGCTGGGAGAGCGTGAGCATGGGAGATCTGGATTGGATCTGCCAGCAGCTGGAGTGCGGCCCCCCAACCTCTGAGCTCTTGGAGCTCATCATTCCCGGTGGGAAAGGGCCACAGAGTCAGCCCAGGAGGTGCATTAACCCACTAGGATGCCAGTGGGAGCTGGAAAACTGCACGGAGCACGTCATCGTTGCCTGTAGAGGTGAGCCTGGACTCCCAGCCCAGCCACCTCAATCCCTAGGGATCATCCATGCCCACGTGGTGCCTCTCTTCTCATTCCAGAGCCAGTGAAAACCACTCCCAAGCCGCCACCAACAAGCCCAGCCACCACCCCAGAGCCCACGGGTAAGCGCCTCATCCCAAGGAATCTGTAGCCTCACATTTGGGAATTTCCCCCTAAATAATGGAAAAATTGCCACCCCAATTCATAACACTTCCTCTTCCATCGCCAATCCCGGTCCAGGACCCCCCAGGCTGCGGCTGGTGGACGGGAATTTCAGCTGCTCTGGCTTCCTGGAGCTGCACAAGCAGGGGATGTGGGGGGCTGTGGCAAGCATCCCGGACACATGGACACATCTGGTCACCCTCATCTGCCAGGAATTGTGCTGTGGCACTGCTGGGAGCAGCCACGGCAAGCCGGATCCAGGGATCCACCTGCCGGTGCGGTGGGAGGCAGTGGATTCCTGTGGGAGCCGTTCCCTGCTGGACTGCTTCAACAGGAGCAGCTCCCGGGGGAAAACGCCCGCCTTCATCACCTGCTCAGGTGAGAATGGTCCTGAGTATCCGTGATTTCCTGCTCCGGTGGGATACCCCGGGGGGATTTTGGGGCCCAGAACAGAGAGCCAGCCCCATCCCAGCCTGCCCCGTGGGCCCCATCCACCCACTCCCGCTCTTCCTCTCCGGGGTGCGAAGGCAAAACAGGAAATCTCAGTTCCCGCCAGTGCCGAGCACGGCAGCTCCGAGGAGGATGAGCCGGGGAGGGAGAGCGGCCATGGCAGCATCCCAAATTCCAGCTGGGGGTGGGGAACACTGGCAGGCACCAGGCTCTGGGCATCCTGCTGTGGACAGCCCCCTGAGCACCTTCCACGCCTTGGGCATATCCATGCTCCAATCATCTCCCTGCCTCGGGCATGTCCCTGGATACCTTCCCTGCCACAGGCATATCCCTTCCTTTCCATGACTCTCTTCCCTGCTACTGGCATGTCCCTGCCAGAGCATCTTTCCCTTGCCGTGAGCATCTCCCAGCCACAGGCCTCTCCCTCTCATTTTCCATGAGTGTTTCCCTGGAAATCAGCTTGGTGCCAGCTCCACGGCACAGACAACCAAGCCAAGAAGCTCGGAGCAGACTCTTTGTGGGTCCTGCCATCTGCCCCAGCTTGGAATCCCGTGGGATTTAGGGGTTTAATGGGCTGTGGCAGCTGGCAGAGCCAGCTTCCATGCTGCATTTCCCATGGGAAG